CGACGGCCAAGTCACTCTCTAATTCATGCGCGAATGGACGAGAGCTTAAAGGAGCCGCCATGCGCGGCCTATGCAGATTTCGATGTTCGCCAGGAAGCTTATGCAAAGTAACCGATGCAACGTAGCACGTGCTGTGTCTCGAAAAACATTGCGCACGGTACGGAGAGTATCGAGTTACCTCACGGCGCGATTTTTTATTTAATCTGTTTGTGCGATTGTGCACTTGACGTCAGCTAAAACGTAACGGGCTACATAAGAAAGAAATAATGATTTAATGATTCTTAAAGATTTAACTTCAATTACACATCTAATTAATAATCTGTTAATTAATAATCTGTTAATGCTTCCGCATTGTGAAACAATAGTTGCTGTAATGGATTGTAAATAGAATTTGCATATGAAGTGCGCAGATATTTCTAGAGTTGTTGTCATCGCATCGGTCACTCAGAAAACTAAAGCTGCGTTGAAGACAGGATTTTGTACTCTCGTACGATCGATTTTATTAAATAGCTCGCTCGTATAAGCTCGAATATTTCGTCGTTTTACGGCCGAGGCCTTGAAAATCGTCAACTCGTCGAATTCTTGCCGCTAAAAAATATTTGCGTGACGATAAATACTGCGAAACCGCAGGTGCTTAAAGAGTCGGTTGCAGCTGTGAAACTATTTTCGACACTGGTGATTTCGCATGAATTGATCGTAAAAGCTATAGTCTTAAACCATATTAGATTTTACCATAATAATAATATAGATTTTTGATAAACGATGCATTATAAAATTTAATCATCATATGTTATTAGGTTCATTTCATTCTATTTTCCTTCAATTAACATTTCCTTGTCAAAGAATTATCTTTCAAGAAAAAATAAAGTAGTTTCTGAGAAGATTAAAATAGGTTGCATCAAAAGAGAACCATATATATATATATATATATATATTAGCATATATGGTATTTCCGTGCACGAAAAAGACTGCTAGATAAAAGACTCTGACATCAAAATGACATTAAGAGCCAATGGATTCTGGGACTTTCTCTTCGACAGGACAGTCAGGTTGTTCGTGTAACCTGATTCGGACAGGCCATCTTGAACGCCCACTGATCGAACCTATTCGCATGATTCGCTTAACTCGAAGCCCACATACATACATACTCCATCGATATTCCCGAATAGCGCTCGCGAGAATCCCCGACGACACCAGCCAGTGACTACGTATCCTGTGGGACCGGTTCGCCCCTGCATTCCCGTTCACATGCATGCGTCACATATTGGTGGCTATAGTTCCTCACGAATGCAAAAAAGTAGAGTGTAGGCGAGAGCTTGAAACCTCGTCAGGTTCAGCCCACGTTATTCGTCGTTGAAGTAGCGCGAGCGCCTTCATCCATCGTACGTCAAAGTCCTGTTTAAATGCGTATTCACTCTCTGAATTTTCTGGTAATAACATTATAATAATGATGATGCATTATGTTAATCTGAGAAATAGAATATCACTGTAAATATAAGTAAATTTTATTTAAATTACTGACTGATTGTGTAAAAAGTTTTACAATAATAATTCTTGATAAATACATTACTTGCAAATAATAATCGCATTACGAATATGGATAAAAATGAATAGATAAAATTGAGAGCTATTCCGTAATGATAACGTTTCAAGCACCTGTATTTGTATGTTTTTACTTTATAGTGTTTAAAAAAATTACCTGTGCCAGACAATCTGCGATGTTCTTCTTCTAGCAATTAGCACTCTTTTTGTTCTCGCACAATGTATTATAGAAACGAGTTTTGTGGTCATTTCATTTCTTCGCGTACGGTCATTATTTACCGCCTTTAATTATTACTTCAATCTTACTTGACCGCAAACTCATTCAATTTAACGTTTGTATTATCTCGGTTTCGTCTCGCGAAGAAGAATCCATTTCGATTATTTTGTTTATTAATTATGATAACACATGTTACGATAATTATGGTAGAAACTGCCTTTTACCTTTGATTCTTAAGTGAATCTATCAATCGGAAAATTATATAGCCATTTATAAATTCCGCTAGCTTACCGTTATCGATATTGTGGCATACGACTTCGACGGCACGTCAAGCATACGCTTATGAATCGCTTACATAAGCGGCATAATCGGCTCTTCTCTTTCCACGTGTGAGTATGTGTGGCGCTTACCTACGCACACTGCACCAATCATGCAACCCAGAAGCCGATGTATGCCAAGGTTGCTACATGCAATGGTATTTCCATGTGCTTTTATAATGGAGACCTACGATACGGAATCTGTTTCATGCCGAGATTTCCGCCGATAATAAATAATAATACACTTGAATAATTGCAACACCTGAGTAATTTGAAAGATCTTATTATACAAACGTTAAGTTGTTATATAGCTTAACATCGTTTGAATTATGATTGATCATCAAAGCCTATTCAAGTGCGGCCATAGGTCGAGCCTTAATAACACTAATTGCGCGCGATATGGGATGGTGTAATCATTACCGATTGAATTTTCTCGGCGCAGATTAGAATGATTAGACGAAGAACAATGACCGAAGTTATCGGTTATCGTTTATTGAGCACGTCTCGATGTTAATAGACTTTAAATTAGCAGCGTTGCCCAAAACTGGGTCATTGGATCAGAGTTAAATTGTGCGAGCAGATAATTATTCATTCGACTCTTTTGAAGATGTTTCGTCATCGTTCTATGATTTGAAGAATATATATTACACGCTAGAGAAGAATATATTACACTCTAATGGTGCAATTTCTCTTGAATTCAATTTGATTAATTATTCACGTACAATTTAATGTATTATATATGCATGCAATTACTCACATATTTAATCTTAATGCGCAACATAAAGAATAAATATACTATAAATGTAGACTTAGAAATAAGTTTAGGAAATAACAATATTTAGTCTGCGGAATTTTATTTAGACACTAAATAAATAATATAGGATAGATGTGTGTCGATTAAGAGATTTTTATCAAATCAAGTCCATTTTTGATATGAAAATTAAAGCATATAAATTTTCTTTTTTTATTTTTACTTGTAATATAATGTTACGATATCTCCGAAAATTAACACAAAGTATGTCACTGCGATCTCGCTATATCGCATAGGTATATATCGATGAGATAATTTCCGTCTGGAGGAAAGAAAGCTTTTACCCTTTTCCCTGTCGAGCTAATATTCCGGAATCAGCTAACGATGCTAGATGATAGAAGCCACATCATTTGTCATATCATTTGTCATAAAGTAAAGCATAGCAATATCCGGAAAAGCTTTTCGTATTCAAACTATTTGTCAAAAGAATTTTATGCGTGGGGAGGATTTTAACTTATCGAAAATTATCTTTGATAAGTTACTTATTCATCCCATTCAAAGCAATTTCTTGGATCTTCAGGTTCTTTTCTTTGAAATAGTTTTAAACTTGGTTTTTAGAGAGCAAAAATCGGACTCGTAAGAACAAAGAATTATCGATTGATGAAGGAAAAGATTAGTCATCAGAGTAAAAACCATAGACAGATGCACATCACCCTATGCGTAGTAAGTTTGGTATTTTCCAACGCTAGTGAAATTAATTATCTAACCGATAGGTCAAGATAATATTGGAATGCTCTTTTTGAGCTTCGTGACTGACACACCCTCTAGAGATAATTATACGATCGATTGTCTTACGCCATCCCATTTTCATATTGTCTGGGGTGCGCTGATAATCGCGCGGTCACATCGTGTTTTTTTATTCTCGTCTCTTTGGGCCGCATTACACCGACTGGCCCTCGAACCGGCATGGCACAATAAATTATATTATACGGATAATAAATTGGACTTCAGAATACCTGATTCCAATTATTCTAATATCGAGGATATCGCCGAATCCGTAGAGAAAGGCGTCTTCCGTTCAATAATGATAATGGCCAATTTGGCACGCAAAGCGGCGATCGTTAACGTAATTGAAGGTGTCGGGGGGGGAGCCTTCGTTATTTCGCCGCAGTTTTTTTCTCACGTCGGCCCGTACTTCGCATTATTTGACGCCCAGGGCGTTGCCGTTAAGATTAATTATGCGTAATAAAAGTTACATTAATAAAGCCATTTTCGCGCGAAAGAGATCTCTTAGAGTAATTACGACGCGTCGCAATGCTTTCCTTCGAAAATTACTTAGAATTATAGTGCCTGCCATTTTAGCTACCATTCACGATTAATTTCTTATCAACATTTTATCGCCGTTTGAAAATACATTACAAACAGATTTGTTTGAAACAATGGCGGTCATTCCAATCAGTTAGATAACATATCTTGCGAAAAGGTTACATGACAAAAGAAATTAATTCTCATTCTTGCGAGCGAATAATAAGTTGAATAAGGTAATGGAAAGATAATGAAAAAAGAGAGAGTAAAGCAGATAAGAGAGAAGACTTAAAATGGATCGATATAACGAACGAAGTATTGAAAGGAAGCCTATTAGTGATATGAGATTGTGGGGTCAGGAATAAGTCAGATTGTAATGCTTTCTTAGTAAGAGAGGAAGGAAAATTATTGAGAAGCAAATAGTACGATCACGCACGCGTTTTGATGACTCTTCTCGAGTATAGTATTGCCTAGTTCAGAACACATAATTGGCAGTTCTTGACATCTCAATAGACTCTGGCAGCTGTATTTAAGATTCTGACAGCAAAAGCTATTCATCGAACACGATTCATCGTTCATCCATTAGTCGGACCTTGCTGCTAGATCTTGCGCCATTGCTCAAAATAACTCACGACCACTGACCTCAAATCTCGGATGCATCCTTTATCGAGAGCTGTTTAAATCGATACAAGTGATAATATCGATGAAATCAATCTTGAACGCGATTGCCTTTACAAAACAATTCGTAATTGCAAATTGTGATCTCGAAACAAACAAGCCTATATAACGAAGCCTAAATTGAAGTTGTAGCGTGATGCTTTCGTTGTATTCGATTTCGCTGATAACGTGTTACTTATTTTTCTTTCAGGGCAATCGTGGGCGCACCAGAGGCTGAAACTGCGCAAGTTGGCGTCTACCGAGGAGGCGCAGTCTATAAATGCGATATCGCGGCTGATGATAGATGCAACATAATCCATTTTGACGATAAAGGTAACAAGATCATAGACGTTGGTTATCTTAATTTTGACAGACGACGCATTAATGGCGCTTCAACTGATTCTCGGTGATCATTAATTTTGAAACCTCTCGTCGAAGGATAAAAAATTTAATTATGTAGAATTTACTACATGCGCTTAACTCTTGCATATGATAAAACGTCGAATAAATTTTGTAAAAACATCACAATATAATATTTATAAGATTATAAATAGTTGATGAGATTTTTTTTTTAATGGGAAAAGTTAGATTTTGTTTGCTATCTTGAAGTTTCCATACTCAAGTATATTATACGTCTAAGTTATTAAATACTAAAGCGATACTAACGTAACTTTACCTATACGCATGGCACGCTTTTATCAATGATTGACAGGTGAGAGGTGTTCCCTTTGATTGAAAATAGCATAGAGTTAACATGCAATCACGTATGTAAATATCAGTCGAATAGATAGAAGTAAATTTAGGATCACGAGCTCTTTCACTCTGTTAACATTAATCTTGGACTAATTTAGATCACCGCGTCAACAGCGCAGTGTTGAAACATTAATGCATTCGCAGAATAATGTAATGGCTTCGAGAGATTCCGCATGCTCGATCGTGTGTGACATAATTGGCAATCCATTGAGCAAGTAATTGAGCGTTGTGAATTTGAAATCGGACTTTTTAATGTCGCCAGTTAAAGCTCGCTGATAACGTTCCTCGAAGAATAAAAATCGATCAGTGAACGATCATCGGTCTGAAACGCTCGATCATCATTCACGATCGAGAATCGGCGCGACAAGACCGGTTTCAGAATTTGCTCGCGAAGAAAATCGAATGAAAACAATATGCAGGACAGATATTAATTGCGGAAAGTGTTGCTATTCTGTGATTAACAGCGTGTTGTTATATATTAGCTGTTTATTATAATTAACTGACTAGACGTATAAAAATAGAAGTAGACTTAATTATCTTATTGCAATAGGTCAATTATTAATGACCTATTTATATAACTTAAGTTATATAACTTAAATTAATATAAAAATGATTTTATTTGTATTTGTTGAATACAAAAACTAAACTTGATTACTAATCCTTATTTAAATCTTTATTTAAATAATCTCACATGAATCTAACATGAATTTGAAATATATAAATATTCTATTTTCAAGTCCAATTCAACATTTTTTAGTAAAATGATGACATCTTAGATTTATTTAGGGCGTTGAAAAATACAAATAAGAGGTTCCCGCCTTAGATTTCGCCGGACTGTCTTGCAAAAGACAGTTGACCCACATTTTACCTTCCCTCCGACATCGATGCGCCAACGAAGCTTCGTAATCTCGAGTAAACCGGCGAACTGGTTACAGTATATGCTATTCTTAGTGCCAATATACTACCCACTCTGCCGTTGACCCTACTATATTTTGATGCTTGGCAATTGCCGCACGTGATGTTGAATACTGATTATGTATGATTTATCATACCTAGAATTTATATTACAATTTATATTTTCTACATATAAGGAGATTTCTAAACGTTTAAGACATAAATCGTCTTGATTTGTTAAGAAATTGTGTTTAACCTTTGCCTTTGATAACTGATAAGCAAATTGAAAAACAATTTTATTATAAACTAGATATTTATAGAAAATATCTCCATATCGTTTTAGGACGAAAATATCATTTTCTTTTAAATTTTTCGTAACTTAATAGATAAGTGTTGCAGATAATTGTAAAATGGATTTACGTTAGTCTATTCATAATCTACATCAGGCTCGTCCAAAACTTAACTCGCGATCTAAGCGCTTTTTTTTACATCATCTCGTTGAGCGAAACAGAGAGAAAATGAAATAAATGGACGCTAGATCTCAGTCCAGCGACTGGCTGTTAATAACATCTATCTTTTTTTGTTTCTATCTCGCCCAACGAGATGATGGAGAGAGAGAGAAACGTTGAACTCGCTAAGTCTTGAATAGGAAAAATGTTTGATATTTGTGACTATAATTACCTATGTAGTAAAATAATTATGATTAGAAATTCTATTTTTATAATTATTACTGTTATAATGTTAGTAATAACAATTATATTTATAACTGTGTACCAAAAACAATATATAGTTAGCAGTTCCAAAGTGACTATAAGTCATTTTATGTTAAATTATGATAATTGTGCAATCATTTTTTCTCTCGACGTATTTTAATTTTTACAACAGGACTCTCTAAGTGACCTGATTAACTCGAGCTTAATGTAAATGCTGTTTGCAAAATATCCTTAACGAATCCTATTACCATCATAAATTCATGCTCTCTAACCAAGAACTTTGGCTGTGCTCAGATTCATATAATAAATCCAGAGAAACGTAGCGAAGTTTCTAGCAGGGTAACATACACGCGAACCAATTAAAGCGGTTGCGTTTAGAGTACATTGCTTGCTCATAAAGTTCTCCGGTAACCCGGTGAAGGAGAAAGAGAGGGATTAAAAATATTATTCGCGCCATGCTCTTACGCTCGATGTAATCTTTCGCACCGCTCGTAAACACGCGCGCGAATCGAACGCGCTAATGTAAATTAGCGGGATAAACTCACGGCGTGAATTAGACGCGGTTTAAACACCTCGTAATGCCGTGTCTCGACCGGCGATGATCGGCGGCGCGATACGGCGCGATCCTGATTCGCGCTCTCTCTCAACGTTGTAACTTGTAATGCGAAGCTGGTTGTATGCATCCGCGAAAAGAAAAGCGAGATTGCTGGGCGCGAGCATGATCGGCAGGAAATCACGCGATCAGGCGCGGCGAGTGCCTGATTTCACGTTATATTATCCAGCAAATGGAGCGCGAACGGCATCAATCGGCAGCAACGCGGGATCGACATAAAAGGAACGATCGAAACGCACAGTAATACAATTCTTCCCTTTTAGTGCGTTCGCGCATGATCGAGATAAAACGCCCGGATAGTTAAGTCGTGATGACTCGTGGCTACATTTTGTGAAAAAAAAAATATTCTGCTCGCAACGTACCTACCGTGTTCTATCGAGGTCTCAGATGATTTCTTAGACGTGATTATTTCTACGTATCTGAAGTCTTCTTTAATATTGAATATTCGCGATAATACAAAATTATTCGAAACATACTCGATTCAGTACCTGAATTTTTGATTTCATGATAAACGATGCAATCAACTGCAAGAGAAGAAGGTGCAAAACAAGTAAATTAAATTAAACTAGCGGAGTAAGTTTACAGACGATTAATAGTCATAAATGAGTCACAGATCTAAACGATGACAGGATAGAACAGCTGAATTAATAAAACTTAAGAGAATCGGACCACTCGCGCATGAAATTCCTGTGAATCTGTTTTCTTGAAATCTATTTCTATTTCTATTCTTGATTTCATCAATTTGCGTTTGTACGAGGATCGCAGTAAGAAACGGGACTGAGCTTCCTCTAGTCTTTCGTTCTGGACTTTGTTTTCTCTCTGTTCTTCTCGATCGCAAGAAAACGTTTTCGCCCGGCTGTGCACACAAGATCTCAAGTTGTACGTCCAATTAGTCGATTTCCTCCTCTACTATCGCTGGCGCTACCATTACGCATGCGAGCACATTTTACTTTGATCGATAATTAGGCCGATCGTATGTTCCTATCTTTCCTCGATCTTGTCCAATTAAGATCGTAGCCATGTGTCGCCAATTATCGGCGCGTGGCGCGATTTTCTCGTGCACGCGCGACGATGAAAACATCTCGATCATTTCTCGCTCTTTGCATATTGCGTGGAGCGTTGTCACACTAGACTAAATTTTTCTCGCGATACCGTCGAAAAGTTTACGATACGCGATTTAAATTGCAATATTTGATGATTTTGCACGAATAACTTTGATTTGCCGTAACGTGGATTATTGAAACTGGAAGAAAGTTGCTTGCGCATGTATGTTTATATTTAACGGTGATAGTGATTACTCAATACTGATAAAATACAATTTTGATGTTTTGCTTCTTTTAAACAAGTTATCTTTTTAAGATTACACACGTCATGAACGATTCTAAGCTGCCGTTGTATAAATAATGATATTCAACATTGAGGTCGAAAAAAATAGATTGCGTAAAATCACGATTTGTTCTCCAAGAACAAGTCGTTTTACGAGTCTGTATTTCTTTTAATGTTTATACTGTCATAGTTTAAAATAGTAATAATGGATTAACCAGCGTCCGAATTTACAATGTGTTATTGAAACTTGAACGACGAGTTGCTCTCCAAAATAACTGCTGCTTGATTTTATGATGGAATTTTGACAACAGCATTAGTTTGTTACTTCAAAGAATTTGCCACAATCAGTAATTTATACAGAATGTCTAATTTTGGTCACGTGAATTCCGAAGAAAGTCAAAATCATTATAATCGTTATATCATTGAAACGTTTCTCCAAAAAAAAAAAAAAAAGAAAAACGTAATTATCTTTTTTATTTTTCTTTTCTTCCAATTTTCTTATCTCAATTCTTTGTAATTACTACATATATTTCATCTCGACAGAATTATGTCAGAATATTTATTCTTCGTGCCAAATAAACATTTGGTAAATTCGTTATGAAGAATTATAATCGAGATTGCAAGATGAGAAGATCGTTCCGATTTCTTTGTAATTCAGGCAGAAATATGCAAGATCTCGTCTTCGATCTTTATTTGCGATGTACCTCGTTGCTCCACCTGCGGCACGTCGAAGTGCCAAACAATCCTTTCGATTGCGTATCGCTGATTCCGTCTGCGTACGAGGAAGAGATCTCGTTCAGGTCTTTGAGGTCACTCACTCTATAGCTACACGAATACATCGTCTCGAGGAGGAACTCCTCTCGTCTTACGCTTTGGCGAGTATCGCGGAGTATCACAGCGGACTGTCCGGAGATACTGAGAACTGTCCCGCTACAAGAAGCTGACGATGCCTAATACAGAAAACTGTAAAACCGTTTTGTCCTAGCCCTGCCTCTGCCAAGACACAGTATTTCTTGCCGTGTGCTGCTCAAGGACTAATTTCCGAAGGTCAGAAATATTTCACGACTTCAGTTGCACGAATTGACACTCCGATCATCGTGCAATTAGCATATTAATAAAAAATGTAAAAGTATGTAGTATGAAATGATCAAATTATCGAAGTGTCTAATTTATAATTAATTTAAATCGAAAGAAATAAATTTAGAATTAAATTATAATTGATATACGCATAAAGTTTTGTTAAGCACGGAGTACACGGTGCGCTATGAAAATATCTGTCGAGTATCTTAGGTTAAATTAATTTTGATATTCGAGATCGGAATCATTATCTGTTTGTTTCTTAGTCGCAACGATCTGGCAAGGATTGTGAAACGAAGGACAACTTCCTTTTAAGGATTATACTTGATCAATACTGGCTAACGGGTTCGCTCAATTCGTAAAATCGATAAAGAAATGTACAGAACTCTTAAGGCTTCTTTACTATGACACCTGTCCGTGGTTCTTTTCTCGAGATCATCGAACGATAATTGCAACGTCAATCTGTGATATGGCGTTGTTGAATTACTTTCATTAAATAATAATATAAATAATTTATCAACACTGAAAGGAAATGTTTTGGTTGTACCAACAACTTCGGATCTCATCGATGTGAACTGGCGCTCAACTTTATCAAAAATAAAAATTAATACCGTAGGCCGTTTGTACTTCATTTGTATTTGTTTGTACCAACCATTATTTTGTATTGTACCTCAAACAGTTAAACAAAAAGTGAAAAATAAAAAAATGGCCAGCGCGCAAGACTTTATTTTTTAATTTCATTTATATTATTCGAAAGACAATCGTTTGTATCCGTTTGTCCTCTCCTTTCGCTATACAAATAAGTACAAACGAAGTACAAACGAAGTCTACGGTATTTTTATTTTTGATAAAGTTGAGCGCCAAGTTCACATCGGTGTATATCTTTCTTACTTATATCATCTTATTTATATTGTTATGCAATTAGTAAAAAGTTTTTCTCATTTTCGATATATGATCTGATTCATGTTCTCCTCGTTCGAATAAATCAGATTTTTGAATCGGATCAATATATCGTCACTATAATCCGTTTTTGACGATGATGAAAGATAATAAAGGACTTGAAAAAGAAATGCAATTCACGAATCGATCATTTTGTACTCGTCTGCCCGCATGTGGCTGGTTTATTCTTCAGTAAATTATCTTCCACAAATGGAACCTTTGATATGATGAATATCACGAAGGTTGAGTTCGACCGGGATTAACCCTATACTAAAATTACGAGATGCAGACGTCAGTAAAACTCGTCCTTGCCGTTTGATATCATTCCTTTTCAACGTGTTTGCTTCAGCTCATTCAGAGACATATTAGATTACTTCCAGTTAAGTGATTGTCTGACAATCACTTATCTAGCATAACTAGATATTAATTCTTATTACCGATACGCTTATTAATCGCACTGAATAATTTGAATAGATCTGAGAATAATGTTCTTTTGTACTCTTTATAAGACACATTATTTTCTTAGTAGGTACACAAATTTACAAATAAATAATATATTTCTGAGTTTTGTAACATTTAAAATAAATGCACGATTTATTTATTTTTCAAAATAATTTAATTATCTCTGACAAGTTTTATAAAAATCGAATTACTTCTTTAATTATTTTCTTACAAATGCACTAATCCAGAATTTTTTGTTTAAGTCAAAATTTTCACGATATATCTAGCGATCGCTTTTTACAACTTAATAAGTTACTATCACATTCTTTTCTTAGTAGGTACACAAATTTACAAATAAATAATATATTTCTGAGTTTTGTAACATTTAAAATAAATGCACGATTTATTTATTTTTCAAAATAATTTAATTATCTCTGACAAGTTTTATAAAAATCGAATTACTTCTTTAATTATTTTCGTATAAATGCACTAATCTAGAATTTTTTGTTTATGTCAAAATTTTCACGATATATCTAGCGATCGCTTTTTACAATTTAATAAGTGATATTGAAAGCAAATTATTGATACTATGCATAAAAAAATATGTTTATTACAGGACATAATCACGTCAGAAATCCAAATCTCGCTGGTAGCTTGAATCAGATCGACAATAAGACGTTGCAGTGGTTCGGTGCTACAGTCTCAGCTTCTAGCAAGGACGGAGGTCCGATTCTGGTAAGTGCGACTTCTGATATCGAAATGCACGACTTGCATTTTAACTGTCAGACGTCAGCGTATTAACGGTGCAATAATTCTTCGGCATGATAACGTGAGCGCGACTGCTTAAGGCGTAGCAACGGTAATTAATTACAAACGTAGCTAATACAATATTGAATTTCTGATTAATGAGTCAATTATATTCAATTGACATTCAATTGGCATAAGCTTCAATTAGAAGCATTAAAGTGTATAATGATTTAGAATATTTGATTCTCCAGAGATAGAAAGTTTGTATTAAAATAATAAATAATAAAATTAATAGTAAAGTAATAGATAATAATTATTAATAAAGAAATTATACTCATTTTCGTTATAAGAGATCATTATAACGGATATTAACTTTAATTGCGTATACCGTGTACATTGTATTTATAATTCTTAGAAATCCCAAGATTGCTACGCGAAAGCTGTTTAATGAAATAAACAGTGTAAGCCAATGGAAACAAATGATGAGGATTCAGTTGAGTTACTTAAATAGCTTTTGTCTTTTATAGAAGATAACAAAATTTTTTTTGAAAACGAAATATATAAGAATATTTAGAAAAATGAAAATAATGAAGAGTTCATTAAATGCGATATTTTCTTTAAATGTTCAATATCTTCATTTGTGCGATTTATAACTACAGGTCTCGGATAGATCTTCTGAGAGATTACAGACGTGCGTTCCCAGAAGGCCGCAGCTTCTATTTCAGGATTCGAAAACAAACGAATTCCCGACGCGTTCCACGTTTCGTTTGTGATGTTGAGACGTCTTGCAAGCGAGTCGAATTAGCACGGAATTCAGAAGTCAAGTTGTTTACTTTTGGTGAAGTAATTAAGTTATACAATAATTAGATAAAATCGAGAAATATTTATTACATTTTAAAAAACATTTCATATTCACTATGAATTAAAACTCTCTTTAAATTAGATATACAGTTGGATGAGCGATTAGAAAAAACAATTTTATAAAATTTATTCGTTAATTTATTTTCTATCTATAAATATTAAAAAATAATTTAGGGTTGGTATTCATAGTCGGTTTTTATTTTAAGACACCGTCTTAAATAATGTCTTAAGACGCTAATACAGCCCTCTGATTGGTCCATGATATCTTAAGATCGTATTTAAAATAATCTTGAATATAAGATTCGAGACTATAAATACTGGCCTAGGTCTTTCCAATATAGAGATAGATCGAATTTATCTTCCCGATTACAACGGTACATCAAAGTAGCTATTTTTCAAGTTACTTTGGTTTCTCCTACACGAAATTATGGTCCCTTCGGTCTTGCCGTGGTTCTCTCCTGCAGCGTTCTCTCGTTATCTGATCAACACTCACTCTCTGCGATACGTGTTAAAGTCATTATCCGCCCGCTCGCAGCTTCCACGCAGATTTCCGATTCAGAGTACGTTGCGGAGCCCCGTTATGACGATCCGGCACGTTCGCAACGTAACACCGCCCTCGCCTTGCGGGATGCACTTCTTGCGACGGGTATGTGCAAGCGAAAGGTCGGACGCCAATCTAGCGCGAAGATCTTTGCCCTTCTCGGAGACTTGGGCCCCTTTTTTTCCTTCCTCCCTTCGAACCATGCGGCGGCCCCTATGATGTACGAGCCGCCCTTATCTATCTTTATATGTACTGCTCTACGTTGCACGCATGTGCGTATGCTCATCACGCGCGGCTGCGGTAGCCGCTGTGATGGCGGATGTGAAGATTGAACACAGGAGAAAGATTGAAGCGGGGAGAAGGGGTGGTCAGGAAGCGGCACTCGCAAATCTTCAGGCGGTCGGAGTGTATCAAGTTTTCGGAATTGCGAAGCGAACTGACGAATAATTAATAGTGTGTCCAATGAATACACCTAATATTCGAATAAATGAATAAAAAATGAAAACACTCATTCGAATACATTTCTCTTTTATTCGTTAAGAAACGATTAAATATTTTTTCATTTCATTTGAATATTTTTTTAATACGATTACGAATATTTTCATTTTGTATTCACTTTTACTCTGTATTATCTGTACATAGCTTGCAAGCCTACAAGGGAAAACAGAAATCTATAAAAACAATGGCTATGGTTACATCGTGCATTTAATCCGCGACTTATACGATGGGCGTCCTTGTTCAACCTATAGATTAAACAAAGATTTTTATCGAGAATAATATATCTCGGAATTTAATGTCCGCAGACCATAATGAACGTCGCGTCTAGATATCCTATAAAATATTTATAACATTACTGTCATATAACCGGAATTATATCGAAATATGTATGACGCGCTCTGTCAAATAGATAGATTTATAAATAAAAAAATGTATATTTTTCTAAAATTTTATAAAATCTGAATATTACAATGACAAAAATAAATAAAATTCATTTTTTTTTACTTAAAGTTATCAAAGTTTATATAATAGTTAAGAAGTAATGATTGCTTATTAGAGCTTTCTCTTTCAATTTATATTTTGTTTGAATGAATATAAATACTCGCTAAATGTTCATAGTTTTTTGTGAATAAATATTTTTTGAAAAATTTTGAATGAATGTATGATTACATTTTTTTTATGTGAAAATTTTGAATAAATACGATTTGGAGCTCAATTACAAATTTTTGTATTCATCGAGCATACTAATAATTAATATAATTCTATTACATCTTTGTACCCTAATTAAATATTACTTTTTATTAACTTTTTTTTCTCTTTATTCCATAAATATTCAAATCTAAAGTATTAATAAATATTATTCTGTTCTATTATATTTCATAATTTAGTTACATTGAAAAGAATTTTCACGAAAATGAAAGCAATAACTAAAACGTTTTTGAATCGGATCGCAAAGTATTATTAGACCGCTTGTATTGGAATCATCCATAACGTTGTAATAATCCCGAGTGATTGCTTGGTTAAAAATGATACGTGGATGACTAGGTGGATTTCGAGGAAATTCGATACGGTCGGTCAGAATGAGTTGGGGGCCTCGTGACGGGCAATGGGTGCGCGAGTAAGGAAAGCCATAAATAAGGCCGCATTCGTATGTGAGAGGCGTATTAGCGACGATTATCGTTCTCGTGCTCGCGTAATTTTCACATAGCAAGACGTCGCCACATAGCAAGACACGCTATCCCGTCAACGCCATTCCCATCTTTCCGTGACACGCCGACATTATGCCAGAATTATCTACTTATTCCAGAATGCGAGACCCGCTCTCTGGTAAACGTACGGCTTTTTCCGCGATTATTCTTCCTCGCTTTCTCCATATCGCTTTTGTTCCTCGTCTCTTCTCGCCTTGCCCTCTTTCACCCTTTGCAATTAAAGATAAGTAATTACTGCTGACAGATAAACGCGAAGAAACGTGCCTCATTCTTTCGTTCTAAATACTCTCCTCTTTCATATTTTCGTAGAATTCGTTCTTTTATATTTCTTCGTTCTTATCCACTATTTTATTTAATAATTAATATTAAGAATTATATAATAATGCAAGTTATGTGTTTAAAAAGTATACGTTATATTGTTAAAAAAGAAAGAATTATTTAAAAAATTTACTAATTTATTGAAGTATGAGTAAAAAAAAACCAGGTAAATCGATGGCGCGTAATCATTGTTTCTAGAGAGAAACTTTTAATACGTGCTCGAAGTGAAAAGAAATGAGATTCATGAAGGTTCAGTAAAACTCGATTTATATGATTATATAATATATTAGCGATTAATTTCTTCATCTATGTGAGAAAAAAGATGTAATCGATAGAAGTTTGCCGAATGTCTTCTCTTCCTCATAATCAGAAGTGCGCGCGTGATATGTGCGATACCGTGTGCAGAGACTTTGATGCATCTGCTTTTATGGCGCTAAAACAATGAGTCGACGGTTGCCTTATTTCTATCACGCGTTTGATTGACGTTTGGTGCTTTCGAAAATCATACGCAAACGTGCATGACGTAAACTTTGATTCGAATTTGAACTCATCTTTTCAATGAAAGTCATTGAACACGCCATAAATTCATTAACTATTAATAAAAAAAAATGGATATAATATATCTTTAATAAAACACATTGATTGATGTCATAAAATCAGTAAAAAAAAACACAATTTTTATCTTCTGAGATATAATATATTATAGAATGAATTTATCGAGATTTATACATTTATTGTAGATACTTATACATATATGTAGGATTCTGTTAAAGTATCTAAAAATTTAACTATAAAATACAAAATTCTGAAAACAATAATATTGAATCAAAATAATTATGTAGGAAACATGATGAATACTGCAAAAAATTTTGACATTTTAACCAACTTGTTGTTAAATATAATTATTCAGAGATTTTCCAACACTTATTTTCAGATCTGTATCTAGTTAAATTTTTAGATATTTTAATAATACCATTTTTTCTGTTCGTAATCAAAATTTTAGATGAGATTTTGGCAAGTTAAATAACATCGAGTAATTATGTATAGCTTAATCTTTCAATATTATTATACCTATAATTTATACTGCGATATACTTATTCTGAGTAATTCATATGTATTAAATACAACTGGTATTATGATTATATAAATATACTATGTGTAAAATACACACGTAAATACACACATAAATACACACGCGCAACCGCATCAACGTCTTCTCTCGTTTCTGATGTCGCTTTTTTATCGCTACCACGAACAAAGGTCGAGCCCCTGAATATCCGTGGGTGGTTGTCATCTTATCGAATAGAAACTCGTTAATGTTCTTTGTGTCGATTGCCGTTGGCAGATAATGGCTCGTTTCGGTTTTACGCGTTCACTTGTCGATCATCGTGATTGCCTTGCTGTTAATTGCTCTCGAAACAAAAGATGTATAGAAGCCGCATGAAAAGTGAACAAGTATCTCGTAAATGTTAGAAGGTATTAGAAGCTTTATGCGTCGATTAGTATTCGCTTACATGGTCATTACCATGGTCTAAGTCTCGCAGATCTCTACATGAATTTTT